TGGTATTGGGATGTATGTAACACAACAAACTTTTGATTCATCCAGTTTCTTTTTGAGAAGGGGAAGAGGATATAAGTTGTGAAATTTTTTCAAAGTGGGTTATGCTGGTTCTCTTTCTGTTTTATTTTTGGGAATTATGAAATGAGCTTTTTGAACAAGGCATGTATAAAAATCCTCCTGCCACATGACAACACTTTAATTCCCCCTTTTCGCTGTATAATTCTGATAAGTGTAGACCAGTCTCTAAGCATTTCTATGTCAATTGAAGTTTTTTGGCTTCTGCAGTTGCAGCCTGGATCGAATCTGCTTCGAGGATATGGGCCTATGTCGTACTTAGAATGCAGCAAAATTCGAGTTCCCAATTAATAAGGACCTAAGTAACATTTGAACCTAGACAACTAGAGAGTAATTCATATCTATGTTTCAGTTAGGCCTGCTTTTATTTTTAGTGATGAAATTAAAAAGGCCCTAAGTAAATATAGAACCAAAATTGTAAAATTAAATTAATCTAAGTTGCAGATAGGCCCTATAGGGAAAAACCAGATAGAATGTTAAAAAGACCTAAGAGCACATAGACCAAATTTTTTTAGTCCTATCAACCACTTATGCCTATCTGAGTTTTTACACTTTATTCTTATAGGTAGATAATACCAATGAAAATGGGTTTTAAATGAACATAGGTCTTTATATGCATTATAACTTTTACACTTTTTTTTTTTTTTTACGGATATGCGCACTCGCAAGGAAATGTCCTATCACGCTCGAGAAGCGGCAAGTGCGCGGAAATGTCGGTGTATGTTGGTCTTGAAACGGCTCAGGTTGTAACCTGCAGGGAAAACCGTCGCAGGGAGTTTATTCCACAGCGATGCTGTTCTCCAGAGATATGAATTCTGATATAATGAGGTTCTTGGTGCCTCTAGTTTGACAGTAAATTCATGGTTACCGTCTGTTTAACGGGTTCGCCTGGTAGGCGCTACTCTCGGTGGAATCATACGTGCCAACTCTTCAGAGCATTTTCCGTGATAGTACCTGTAGAAGAGAGATAAATCGCCCACAGATCTGCGATGTTCGAGACCATCCAAGTTACGAGTAAGTGCGGGGTCATTGATCAGCTTGATAGCTCGTTTTTGCACGGTGTTCAAAAGCATTAAGGTATGTTTGGGTGCTGCACTCCATATATGTGAGCAGTACTCCATAATTGGTCGAATCTGGGCTTTGTAGAGTGTCAGCAATTGGCTTGGTGTGTACAGATGTCTTGTACGAAATAGCACCCCCAGCTTTTGGGACGCCCTTTTAGCAATATCTGCCACGTGATTGTGCCAAGACATGTTGGTCTCTGCAGTAACCCCCAAGATGTTCAACTGACTCTGTAATGTGACAGCACTTCCAGATAGCATGCTGTTTGGCTCACCGGTGCTGTTCTTTTTTGAAAACAGAGCTGCTTGGGTTTTCTGTGCGTTGAACTGTACAAGGTTTTTGTTACCCCAGTCCTCTATTATCTCCAGGTCGTTATTTATCTGCCATATTTGAGTTAGTCTAAGATGATGGAATTCACGTGCGGAAAGACCTGTGGGTGGTATGAGTGAGGAGACTACATTACCATCGTCTGCAAAGCAATAAAGTGGATTTACTGTTTTATCTATGAGGTCATTTATGTAAATCAGAAAGAAAGTTGGCGAAAGGATTGCTCCCTGTGGCACACCAGCATTTATTTGGTAAGAGTTGGAGTTCTGGCCATCCAGTGCAACATAAATGGATCTGTGCTTTAGGTAACTTTCAAACCAAGTGCAAAGTTTCGGCGATAATCCCATTGCTTTGAGCTTGTTGAGCAGATTTTCATGCCAAACTTTGTCGAATGCTTTAGATATATCTAAGGCAATTGTTCTTGTTTCACCCCGCAACTCAATCGCTTTTTGCCATAAGTGAGTGACGTATGTAAGTAAATCGCCAGTTGACCTATATTTTCGAAATCCGTATTGCTTATCGTTGATAATTTTGTACTTTTCCAAGTACTTGGTTAGGTGATTGTTCACAACTCTTTCCATTACTTTTGATATCACCGGAAGTAGAGCAATTGGTCTATAGTTTAACGGATCTGTCTTTTTTCCTTTCTTTGGAATGGGTTGTACTGCGGCAGACTTCCATGATGATGGATATACTCCTTGCCTGTAAGACAAATTGAATAATTTTGCGAAAGTTGGGGTGAGTTCGTTGGCGCAATTTTTGAGTACTATTGCGGGAATGCCATCCGGACCCATTGCTTTGTTTGTATCTAGCTTTTTAAGGGATTTTCGTATTTCTCTGTGACAAAAGGGTACCTCTGGCATACTATGGGAAACCCTTTCAATGAACGGTGGAGTTTTTCCGTTTGGCACAGTTAGGTTGGAGTTGGAGGAAAACATTTGGGCCAGCATATTGGCTTTTTCCTCTGATGTTGTGGCTAAGTGATTATTTTTATCTGTAAGTGGTGGTATGGATGACTTGGTGAAGTTAGATCCAACAGCTTTTGCAAGAGACCAAAAGGACCTAGAACTACTTGGACAATTCAGCAACCTGTTTTTTATTCTTTGATTGTATGTTTCTTTAGCGAAGTCAATAGTAATTTTGCAACTATTTCTGGCTTCTATAAATTCTGTGTGGTTTTGAGCGGTTTGTTGTCGTTTCCAAAGGTTATATGCTCTGTGTTTTTTCTGTACAGCCGTTTAGCACTGGCTGTTGAACCAAGGTTTTGCATTAGCTCTACGTTTAGTTGTATGTGGGATATATGCATCCATTCCAGATAAGATTACTTGTGTTATTTCATTACAGCAAATAGTGGGATCAGCTGTTTTAAAGCAAACCTCTTGCCATGGAAAATCCAGGTAAAACTGTTTTAGGTCATTCCATTTTGCCGATTTATAGTGCCACATTTTACGAGGAAGTGATTGTTGGCTTGGTGGGATGAGCTTTTCGCACTTTGTTATTATAAGTTTATGATCGGACGAACCAAGTGGAGCATCTACTTGAATTGTGTACGAGTCAGGATTTGTGGTTAGGAACAAGTCTAAAAGCGCTGCAAATTCGCCCCTTTCTGAGATACGGGTAGGTTCATCGACAAGCTGCGTTAGACCACAACTTATGGCAAAAGCTTCTGCTTCTCTGCCTTCGTTATCTGTTTTGTTGTGGTGTTTCAGCCAGGGTATATTGTGGACGTTGAAATCGCCTAAAAAGACAATTTCCGCCTGTGGATAGTTTGACTGTATACTATCACAGCTTTCGGATAATGTCGCGAAAAAGTTTTGGTACTCGGTGTTAGATGGCGGTCGGTAGAGGTAGCAGATAAACTTGGTCGATAACTTTGAGGTGAATTTTAGCCATATGATATCAAGGTTCGCTGGTTCTAGCTTCTCCTCTCGATGACATGAAAGGTCATTTTTAATGTACACACAGATCCCAAAATTATGTCGAAATCGGTGGTGTAGGTCATAGCCGGGATAAAGATAGTTCACAATAGGTGTTGCAGAACTGATTTTAGTTTCAGTGAGAACAAGGATGTCAGGTCTTTGTTCTTCAAGATGTTGGTGAACTGAATTCATATTTGTACTTATTCCTCTTATATTGCTAAAATCAATTCTGAGTTGAGTTTTTGATCTTCTCTTTATATCTTTGCATGAAGGACCCCGACACCCGACGCCCGGAGACTTAGGTCCTTTTTACATTTAAATTTTGATTACCTAAGAGTTCTATCCGCTTAGGGCCTTTTTCATTTGAAAAAGCACTATTTATTTGGTTAGTTAGGCCCAATAGCTCATTTTTTGAAAATTTGCACTTAGGCCCTTATTCTGCCAAGCCACAGAATTATAAAAACACTTGATAAACTTATATTATTCTTGTACTTCATTAATTCAAATTAAAAAAAAAATTGTATTATCTATCAATAATTCTTTAATTACATAGGGATTTATTAACTGATACAACTCCGGCAATGGTGCCCTGATTCAATATTCATGTTTCAATTTTATGGCTTTTATTTAAATTTTACCTCTTATAGGTAGGCTAAAAAAAAAATTCAGGATTATCTTTGTTTGCGTTGACACAACCAAACACTGTCTTGAATCTATGTTATAAAGCTATCGAGCTATCAATTGCAATGAAACAGAGTATAGAACACAAGGAACGACCGTGATTTATCAGATAAACTTTAGTTAAAAAAATTCATGCGAAGACGTTCAATCAGAAACCATTTTCAATGAGTTAAAAATGCTACGAGTTCATTTTAGAAAATAAATGTATTATTCAAAAGTATTTTATGGTGGTTAGAAGTTATTCGATTATATTCTATAATGAATTGATAGCAGCATATTATAGTCCAAGAGCCCAGAGCGGCCAGACACAACTTACTTTCTTAAGGACAGAATATGTGGGATTGAGTAACACTTATACTATGAACGTATGTATACCCGCTAAGTTGGGTAGATGGCGAATTGAAAATAATGGCAACAGCTGAAACTGTTATTTGTAAATAACGGTTTTTCCCATTTCTACTCTAGCCTGGAGTAGACTGTAAGTTTAAGAGGGGGAAATCAGTTGACTTGACATAGATATCTCGCTCACTCTCAAACGCATGTACCCTCGCGCTCACACTCCCGGAAACATTATTACTGCTTCTGGGAGGATGTTTGGCCGGTGCGATTGGTCTAGGTGAGCACACGTAGTTATGAAATAGTCTCCCCGATAACAGATATAAAAAACAAGCGTTAGAAAAAAAGTTAGTCTTTCTCAGCTTTCGCACCTGGTGTCCGTAAATTGGCCGTCTACCCAACTTAGCGGGTAAACATACGTTCATAATATAAGTGCTACACAATCCCACATATTCTGTCCTTTAGAAAATAAGTTGTGTCTGGCTGGGCTCTTGGACTATTATGTGTATTTACAATTTGCGACTGACTGAGACAACACAAGACTGATGTTTGCAGAACACTCATTTTTTATCTGATTTTATGGTTATATTTATTTTTCAGACTCATTAAAATGACTGAAAGTGGTGTCCACGACTATATAACATCACTAATATCACCAGCTTTACCAAAATGCGACCAGCAGACTCTTTATCAGAGCGCAAGATTGAATGATCTCATTACATCTTTTGGATTGCTTGGACTAGGAATTCTTGCAGCAGTAACTGCTGTTTCACTTGAGTGCTTTTGGAAAAAAAGAAAGTTGGTACTCGATAAACTAAAAGGGAAAACAATGATTGATCATAACTTTGAATTTGTACACTGAATTATTATGCATAATCTAATCAGACATTCAACACTAGGCCTGGAATAGGATAACAACGGGGAACTGAGCCAAAATTTTGGCAGCTGCTTCAGTTATGTTACGTAGTACAGGGTACAGGGTGATCTATTATAAATGTCACGCCCTACTAACTTTTTCATTTGACGTTTTTGACAGAAGTGTCGAATACTAAGTAAGTTTTATGCATACAGGGTGCGTCAAAGAAGTGTAGCAGAGCGAGGTTGTATTTTTTTTATTGCGCTTATTTATTAGCCTCTTTCAACTTGATTTCAACGATATACGGTTTGATATATTCATCTCTCAGTTTATCTTCAATTTGGTAGGTGTTATCGCAGGACACAAAAAAACAAATTCCTTTTTCAAAAAAGTGCCAACGCCGACGTTTTGATTTATTTGAAATCTTTTTCAAGGCTATTTCTCCTTCCTAGAAGGAGAAATAGCCGTTGAATAAAAAAGTTAGGAGGGGATAATAGATCACCCTGTACAGATGAGCTATATAATAGACATGTATTTTTTATTGCCCTTTACTTAAGGGAATTTTTCAACTTACAATATAAATTTCACACTTATCTTACTCGAATATTTGCTATCATCGATTTTCCTCCTCACCGCATCTTACACAATTTTTTTTAATTTAAGAACAAAAAAGATGTTTTTTGCTAGATTGCTAACTCACGTTCCTGAATAAAAACATTTTATAAAAAAAGTATGTTTATGATAATAGTTTCATTGCCTCAAATATGTCTAAGATTTAGTTCGTTTCATCCGCTACTATTAGTATATTAAAGTATAAGTGGATATTAAGGTCTTTAAAACACGCGCGATTTTTCGAGCACGACGGCGCAGCCGGAGTGCTCGAAATAGGGCAAGTGTTTTAAAGACCAGTTATCCACGAATACTTTACACTATTTTTTTTTATTGGTACCCCTACGTTCAAATCATAAATTATTAATAGTTGTAGAATGCTAAATTCATGATATGACATCTGGTATACCTTTCGTTGTCTGTCAAATCAATAATTAAAAAGTTGACATTTAGACTTTACCTTTCTTGGGTTGTTGATGTTGTCATGGTATTTTTATTAAAACACGCGCGTTTTTGAATGTTATATTTAGACACGCTGAGGAGTACTTTAAATAAGTAAAATAGGTTATCAATAAAAAAAAAATATATTTCAGCATTGCAATGTAATACACAGGGTGAAAATTTAAAAAGTAGTAATCGGGAATTTCTCTTAAACAAAAAATACTATCAGGAAGATCTTAAATACGTATTGCGGGATTGGAAGGGGAACGAAAATGAGGCACTTTTTGAGTCACTCCGCCTCACCCCCTAGGGGGTAGCTACCCTAACTCTTTTTTTTTGAATACGAACCTACCTTGTGTTCCACATCGTTCGATGGCTTGTTGCTATCCCTTTACATTTAAATCGGACGATTGGTTTTTGATATATCGGTCTTTAAAAGTAAGCATATTTTGAAAACTAGTAATTTTGACTATCTCTTAGACGAAAGAATTCTGTCATAAAAGTCTCAAATACACATCGGGAAAACCAAATGTGTTTATTGCCTAACCCCCACCCCTCTTGTCTTAGAGGCTAGCCGCTCCTTATATTTTTCTACAATGAGAACCTACCCCGTGTGATAGCTAGTTTGAAAGGTTTTTTATTCGTCTTTAGAGACGTGCAGAAGCAGACAGAATTACGATAAACACATTATTTGGTTTCGCCGATGTGTATTTGAGACTTTTATGACATAATTTTTTTGTCTATGAGATAGTCAAAATGACTAGTTTTCACAATGTGCTTACTTTTAAACACCGATATCTCAAAAACTAATCTAGGCCAGGAAAGAGAGGTTGAACTTCGCAAACTCGACACAAGTTCTGTTTTATTTTTTTCCTGTTAGGACAAGGGCTGCTTATTATGAATCTAATTTTTTCCAACAAAATTTCACTCTGGAACATCCCCTTTCATCCCCCTAAAGGTCATTTTTTGTGGTTTTTCCGAAACGTAGCGCTTCCGCTACGTTTTTCAAAAAAATACCTTCATAGTAAATTGAGGAGGACTAAATTATCTACAATTCATCCAGCGACAGCATATGTCTATCACCTACCCTTTAGTCGGGGTGGCGCTCTAAATTTGAATTACCTTTTAAAGAGATGCTTTGGAAATTATTATTTTTTTACTGAACAGTAAAGCGAATCCACCACAAAACATAGGTACAGCAAATACTCATGAATATTCGGCCGATTTTTGGGCATATGTAATATTTGAAAACAGTTACCTGTTTGAGATATACAGGATGTTGAAATTTAAACAACCCCCTTTAATATCATCTGAAGGGCTAATGCTAGGATGTTCAAATTTTCAGGAATTTTTAGTGTAGGAATGATATTGGAAAATTTGTGTAATTTTCTACTTGAAACCACCCCAAAAAAAAATTAAATTTGAAAAAAAATGCCTTCACATATTATTTTGTGCACACCTCCGACATATACACCAAAAGCATTTTTCTAGTACAACCCCTCTAAACGGAAAGAAATATAAAGGGGGTGAAATTTGTATTTTTTTTGGCTTTTTGTCAAAGTACAGAAATGTGACAGTTTCAAGATTTCAAAAACTCTGTAATATCAATATTACATAGACAGTTGAAAATAAAATATATAATTATACACCGTCTTGCATTTATTTATTGAGTTAATTTGTACAAAAACAAAATTGGACTTACACATGCAAGACGTTTTCATGGGGGTTTTGGGGTTGCAATAGAAGATGAAAATTGTCAATTAGTGAGAGGGGTGAAATAGTTATTTACCTAACAAGTGCGGAAAGTGGTCCTTTACCGCAGTTGCACGAACGACGCGAAGCGGAGTTCGGGCAAGCCGTCGAGTGCGGTAAAGTCACTTTTCGCACGTGTTAGGTACAACATTTTTCCTTCGGAGCACATAATTTTTGGAATGAAAATTTAATTGGAAGAAAAAATGCATAAAAAGTAGCAACAGTGATTGTTAAAAACAATAAATGTTTCTATTTCATGCATTACGGCCATTACGCGAAGGCAAATGCATTAATTGCATGTTTTTTTTTTTTAATTTTCAATACAGTGCGGTAAAGATTTTTTACCGCACCCAAAATTTTATTGACAAGAATTTGGTTAAACGCCTGTCTTTGGCATTTGTCAAATCTGCTACGTTGCATTTTGTTTTTTCCATAGCAACAAATCAATATTATAATTTGCGTCTTTAGATTCCACATAGAAAGTTCAAATAGATTCGTGTTGTGTGGTTCAAATTTTCCATTTTTTGGTATGAAATAAGTTCTTGAGAGATGGAGACCTTCGATGAAGAAATATTCAAAGCAGCGAATGCAGCAGTCGGCTTTTTGATTCCGCAAAAATCCCAGGACCGGCACAATAAAGAATATGAACAACGGACCTTTCTCATTTTACCTGTGCTGCGCGCGTACTTCTCAAACTTTTCTAAACTTTTCTCCCACATGTTTGTCATATTTACGTTTAAAAATAAACAAATACAGAACCATAACCGAAATTGCACAATTTGACAAGTGGAACCAATCAAAGTCATGCCATACAGGTATCGCGCGTCATTTTATGTGTCTCTTTCTTTATTGGAGAAATCTTAATAAACTATCCTTGTTGTGCATTACATGAGGAAGGTCCATTACAATCGTATTTTTGAAAGAGTGCGGTGAAGAATTTTTACAGCACTGAGTGCGGTAAAGAATTTTTACAGCACTGAGTGCGGTAAAGTGTACTTTACCGCACGCGAGTAGGAAATAGTTATTTACCTAACAAATGCGGAAAGTGATACTTTACCGCACGCAACGGCAGTTGACCGAACGACGCGAAGCGGAGTTCGGTCAAGCCGTTAAGGGCGGTAAAGGCACTTTCCGCATGTGTTAGGTACAAAATTTTACCTATGAGCATCTACATCTCCAAAAAAGGGCATTGATAAAATTATTTATTGAATCAGATTAAGGAATGAAATTAGATTAGATTTAGAAATTATCAAAAATCCATTTTCTGAAAAAAAAAAGGATTTTTGATTATAAATATCAAATTCTACTTTACCGCACACTATGCGGTAAACTGCACTTTACCGCACACTTTGTAGTCCACTTTACCGCATACTATGCTGTAAAGTTCACTTTACCGCACACTATGCTGTAAAGTTAACTTTACCGCATAGTGTGCGGTAAAGTGCTACTTTCCATTCGCAAATACGTGCGGTAAAGTGCACTTTACCGCACGCTCGTAAGTAAAATCATTTTACACCACTTCATTGTTGATCTAGATTAAAGCTTGAATGTAGAATAGCTACTGGATACTGATACAAAACGTCCTGTCAAGGGATAATGGGCTGCAAGACGGATGTCAATGCGTTGTCTCATGAGGGAGTGAAAAATTATTTTTCCTACAAGCGTGCGCAAAGTAGTTCTTTTCCGCGCACATTTCCGGGCTCAAAGTTACACTTTTCCGCACTCAGTGCGGATACAGGCCTTATCCGCACTGAGTGCCGAAAAGTAATTATAATTGTCAACCAACAATAAGTGCACCTGTCGACTTTGAAACATGATGACAAATTTTTCCTCTGTTTCTATATCAGCCAACATCTATACAAACACCAAATATAAATTAACTTTGACACATTGTCACATTTGTTCTCTATTTATATGCAAAAATTTACAAACTTTCTCATCAAATTTAAACGCTTTAAGATGAACAGCTCTGACGAGGATTTTCTGTTATTTTTTTTTGTTATGTAATTTTTTGATAGTTGCATAGGTTCCCTTCAAGTTAATTAATAGTTATTTATGATATAAGTGTTAAAAGTACATTTTTAAGGCACGCATGTGAAAGTTTGCAGAATGAGCGAAGCGAATTCTGGAATTCACATAAGTGCCTTAAAAATACTTTTAACACAAATATCATACAATATTTTTTCTACAAACGGCAATAACAAGCAATAACCAGTGACAAATTGGATTTTTAAATAAATAATAAATTGGAAGCATCTTTCCTACATAAAATTATTGAAGTTGATATTTGTCAAAAAATTCAAACAACCAGCACCTTGTTATACAGGTAATGAAAT